TTAGTTTTTTTTTAAATTAATATCGATAGAAATTTATTTTTTGGGTATAAAATCTTGACTTGAAAATTTAATACAAGGCACTTAACATATTGAAAAATAAAAKAAATTCATAGTCACATTTTTTTTTTATAAGCATTCAAAATTTTGAATTTTAACAAAATACGTAAACATCACAAAAATTCGCAAATTGTTTTAAGCTAGAAATTCATAAAAAATGTTCTTTTTAAATCTTAGATTTGAAAATTTAATACAAGATTCTTTACAAATTTGTCAATCACAAAAAAAATGTCCACCTATCTTACGATACCTAATTCAGTTTTAAGTGAGTTATAAGCATTTTTATTTTACGATTAATTATACGCACATAATTCACTTAAAAACTGAATTATCGGAAAAATACTTTCAAAAAAACACAGATGATGTTTTTACCATCATGTTTTATAATAGGTCTATTCACTCTAATTTTTAAACTAACGGAGTAAAACGTGAACTGCTGAGTGTAAATTGACTATGTAACCCGTTTGTAAGACTGATACAACAAATACAAGTGTGGCGCCCTCTTAAACGTAGCGTGTTTCACGATTAAATACGTTTTCTCACTGTACTAATACATTATAATGTGTGCTTTTAATACAATATTACACAGAGGAGTCCGTAAAATAGAATTGTTAATTTATTTATCAGGAGTGTTTTTACTATTTATGTTTTTCAAACGATCATTTAAAAAAAGTATCACAAATCCAAACGATAATAATTGTAAACAATACAAAACAAACCCTTGTTAAACGTTTAGATCAAGTCAATACYTGGCCAACAATATTTTGTTCGGATATTTTATTTTGGAAATTTATGTTTTGGAAACTTAAGTTTGAAGAAAAGGTAAAGTCGATTGGATGGCATGTAAAAAACGAACAGATRAATTTGTTGTTGGCTGTAGCAGGAGTTCTGTCGTTTGTTTCACGATATAATTATAATGAATATGGCTGTAATACGTGGGACACAGTGCGAGAACAATACCTACTGCGCACGCGACACAACAAAACTTTATTATGTTATTACTTTGTATGTACTTATCGGAAATTGATTATGAAGTGCTGCCACGTAATAAAATTTAGGCCACTCGACRATTATACGTTATATAATAATCTCCAAATCATTTTAATAATAATATAATCGCCAACGTCGATCTCAGTTCGCTTTCTGAAAGACTGCAGAAAATCATTACGCTCGATAATATTGTGTTGTATTATTGTTTCGTCGCGTTTATTACATAGGTAATACGGGAACTATGCAGCATTCTCTAAGCCCGTATCGATGATCGAACACTATTCACTCGTAATAATAAAATAATTAAATATGTAGGTATACCTATCTTTTGTATTAAGAAAAAAGTATCAGGCACACAATGTATACGCAAATCCATATAGTACTATGATATTATTAAACTAAAGCGAGTTTTCCTTTTCACAGGCCTCAAATAGACTTTAAAATATTGCAAACTGCTGATGAGTATCATAACTATTATATAATATATTACAATAAATATTATATCATTACAACTCTGCGTGATATGATTTTTCTTCAAGCTTTTCTGTTATTCGCCCAGTGGTGTGAATTGGCCTTAATTTGTAGTGATGTGGAGAAACAATATTTACCYACATAACTTTCTTTTTAAAACAATCTGCAATCCTCTCAGCAACAAGACTGTAATTTCGACAAATTTTAAAATAAAATAAAAGTATATAGAAACGTATGTTTTTTTTTTTTAAATTCGTTATCCTTGTTCATATAGGTATTTTTAATTGTATTATGATAAAAATAAAGTACTCACAGTATCTTATTTATAAGAGTTATACACTAATGCAGCTGATAAAAATATATTATACAACAGTGAATGAAAGAAAAAAGGTGGATTTGATCAATGCATTAGTAATAAACTATATTTCAAACATAAAACGGATTACGGTTTAGTTGTTACTTTCTGAAATTACGAATAAAATCGCATCTTTTCAAAAACAGGATTTGCCATTTCTTAAGTAACAATACATTTATTGAAAATAATACCCGTTGCTCTGAAATTTAAATTTGTTTATTCATTTTTTTTTTAAATCTTAAAATCAGTTGTAATTACTTTGTTTACCATTATCATCTACCAAATTTGAATGTTATATGCGTCTGATCGTAGTTTGAAATTATTAAAAAATACTTATATCACGTGTTACAGTTGCCAAGTATCTTAAATGATAATCACACGCTATATAGAATTGGATAATCTTTAGGAATGTACAAATATAGGAATTAAAGCAGTAAAGAACTAAAAATTATCCAATTAGCCGTGTCACTAAATTAACTATGTAATTTTGCAATTAACCAAATATATTAATAAAATATGATTACATTTAGTTTGATTTGTAACTATATTGTTACTTCTGCAGTAGTATACCTACTAATTATTATGTATGCCATGTATACATTACTACTATATGGATGCAAAAGCCATGAAGAAATATGAAAAATTAAAATTGTATCTCATCGACGTGTAGATTAAAAATATTTATAAACGTACAAGATTTTCCATTCGAGTTTACGGTTTTATTTTTACATAATTTTTTATAGCTAATGTATATTAAGCATTATCGTATGACATGTAAGTCTGATTATTTATAAATATAATGACGGCTGTCTCAAAAGTCGTAAAAAGTAAACTTTCTTATAATATAATATGCTAGATGAGTTGTATTTGATGTCAAGTGGATCTTAATAATGCCTAAATGATTTATGTGTCATAATATAGGTTCTTTTTAAAAATGTTGTAATGTGTGCTTTGTCAAAGATACAGATGGTGATGGTTTTAAACAATTAGTTAAATACAATTTCAACAATAATAGCAAATGATCGTTTAGGCTAGTCGCTGACTGGCAATTTTCAGTTGCGCGATAGTAATCACGCAATCGAACGATTTGTGGCAAAACACAAACTAATTAGTTGGTCAAACTGATTAGTTGCATGTGAGCTGATTGTCACATATCAAGTTAAATACAAGTTTAAAATTATAGTTTCTAGTACAAGTCGTATGTATGAGTGGCGTGACGTGTGAAGGTGCTTAAGACTCACAACACGGGTAGGATACCTGTAATTAACATGCTGTTTTCAACCTCACTTAACCTTATGAGCTTCTTTATAAGTGGCGATACGTTTTATTGTCTTAGATCGGAATAGTAATGGAAATTGGCCAGTGTCTTTGTAGGTGGTGTCGTAGAGGGCGATTGTAAACTATAGACCTGAATAAAACTATTACGATCAGTTTTTCTCACATTTAGTAATAAATTATTTTTACTTTTGAGATGCATTGGGTAATGACCCAGAGGACACCACGATGAAGCGATTCTCAATGTCTTCCAAAAATTATTTYACTTACTATTTATTTTCAAATTGTTATAAAGTAATCAAATTCGCTATAGCAGAATTCAATGTATATAAATATACGTAATATAATATATTTATTTACGTTACTTATTTATTATTTTCAGTTGAAATTATGTTCTGCTTATTTTATATATTTATCCGTAAAAATTATCGGGCCTAGTTTACAACAAAAAAAATGAAAACATTAGCCCAGTTAACATTAATTGCTCGTCCTGGATATAGTTGTCGTTTTCTTAAAATATTAATAGCTGGGTTTGCAGTTATGATTATTAATTACTTATAAGTATCGGCTTAGTTCAAAAGACGTATGTTTTTCTAGTAATATTTTAAGCTTATAGCTATTTTCAGAGAATTATTATAGATTTATAATCCCTATTACACCCATCTGGTTAATTTATGAAGTTGTTGTATTATTAATAACCCTGACAGTATACTAATATAGTTCTAGGAATTCGTGGCCGGCAAAAATGGCATACATTTTAAATATTACCTTCTGTTTAAATATGTATATCAATTACAGGAAAATATTGCTAATTATTACAAAAACCAAAGCCAACGAAGTTTAATGGTTTTTATTGAATTAATGTAGGTATTCGTTTTTACTACAATTATTATATTGTAAGTTAACGAATATAATAATGTTATGTATTCTTTAAAACTTCGTTACTATTGGCCTATCAACGATGCGTAATACATAATCACAAATAAGTAGGTAATCACATTTATATTAGTTTTTACCATAGTAATAAATATTCTTACTTGACTTCACAATTCTAACATAACTAGTGTTATATAGTGTGCTTGTAATGATTCTCATGTCCTCGCTGCGTCAACAATTTTGTGTTGTTTTTTTCATTATTATTAAATAGGTAATTCAAATCGAGCAAAAAATAAAATATTCTGTGCTGCGAAATTATACGTCATTATTAAACTGCAATAACTATGTAAGAATTCTTACTGAAAATATCTAGTTTTATGTATTTATTTAATTATAACTCACAATTGAAATGTACACAAGCGATAAAATACGCGAATATTAACTAATACAACACATAATTAGTTAATTTTGGTTAATATTTCATGTACGGAGGTTTATACTTGTATTAAAATCATACAAATTATGAAACGTTATCATAAAAAAAAAGTACTGGCTGAGAAAGTACTGATCAGAATACAACTTTGAGAGAATAAAATTGTAAAGGTAGGTAATAAATTCTGGTAAACGGAGAGCACGTTATTTTCGCATAACAGTTAGAATATATACATAATATATATGTTTTTTTGTTGATCAGTAATAATATTTTAATTCATTTTACTTAACGTTTATTTAAAAATATCACCACGATTATAAATCCAACCCCCAAAAAACCTAAAAACCTGCACAATTTTGTAGCCTAATATTAATTAATTATAATAATAATAATATTATGTGATATAATGATGTCAATGATTTGTTATCATGATTTAAACGTATTTGCTTGAAAACCAAATAATTGTCTGTTTTAAAATATTCATTGGATCTGATACCATTTTGATATTATAATGTCCAATAGACAGATTCTTTGACGTGGGCGTTGACGAGGAAAAAGACTGATTCGGATGAACCTAGCAAAGAAAAACTCAATCGGGTGTTGACCTTCTTCGACTTGACCGCATTGGGCACGGGCTCCACTTTGGGATGCGGTGTGTACGTGTTGGCCGGAGCAGTGGCCAAATCTATCGCTGGCCCAGCCGTAGTCCTGTCCTTCGCCATTGCCGCCGTGGTGTCTGCGTTTTCCGGTAAGGACGTGCCCGATTTCAATTGAATTTATTTGTAAGCCGACAACGCAAACTCATCAGTTTCCGAGGGAGTGTGAAGTTCTTCTAGGATATTGACGTACCTCCCGGCACAATAATATCACATTAAGGCATAATATACCTGGGGGGGGAGTTGCTTGCACTTATATATTATTATAAGAATAATAATTTTGCAGATTGAATTTGTGGACGTTTTGTATTGCTCATAGATTCTATAGGTTTTTTTTTTTGTGTATTTAAGCAAAAATCTATGTAAGCTAGGTATGTCATATTATAATAATAATTGCATAAAGGTTTAATTTTTTTATAATTATTAAATAAAATAATTTAAATTTTGTTACTCTTTTGGGAAAAAGATTAAAATTAAATGTAGTTAATAAAAAAGTATGAAGAATTAAAAATACATTCACACGCTCTGAATCTAAAATTATAACTACAAAAAATAGTAAGAAATATTTTTTTTTTTAAATTTGATTTTTAATAACTTAAAATGATTTTTAAAACGTTTATAATTTAATTTTAATAATGAGTAGGTATCTAATGTTTATTTTTCGTGTGTGGAAAAAAATGCATGTGAGCTACCTATTTGGGTTGAAAAAAAACTATAAATATTCTCTCTGACGGTAGCTTATGGAAAGAAACCAAAAACTTACTTAGTCTTAAAACTCCTTCTACCCCTTTAAAAAAAACCTGACCATACACTTGCTTTTTCTGATACCGATAAAGCCGAAGTTCTTAAAGCACACCTTCAGGAAACTTTCCAACCACATCATAATATATTCATTTCTCAATGTGTTGACCTTCCCTCAACCTCCAATCATTTGAAAAATATTTCACGCCCAACGAAGTCAAACAGGCTATCCAAAAATACTCCTTAAAAAAATCATCGGGCTATGACCTAATAACGGCAGAAGTAGCTAGATGCCTCCCCAAAAAAGCAATAGTATTGGTAACATATATATTTAATGCAAGTCTAAGACTCTCGTACTTCCCAATTTTTGGAAATTCTCAAAAATTGTACTATTTCTTAAACCTAATAAACCCTTGAACCACCCGTCCTCATACAGGCCAATAAGTCTCTTGACCTTCTTATCTAAAGTTTTTGAAAGACTTATTCTCAAACGAATGATTTCATATATTGTCAGGAACAATWTTCTGCCAAAAACCCAATTCGGATTCAGATCATCACATAGTACCATTCATCAAGCCCATAGGATTGTCGATGCAACATCGTTCTCGTTGGAAAAAAAACTTGACTGTTCCTGTGTCTTTCTTGATGTAACCAAAGCATTCGACAGAGTTTGGCATGACGGATTACTGTTCAAACAAAATTTTCTTCCCTACCCGTTCTTTCTCCTAATTAAATCTTACTTAACCGATCGACACTTCCAAGTACATTATCACTCTGCACACTCAAAAATAATCAAAATCAATGCTGGCGTCCTACAAGGAGGTATTCTATCTCCAACTCTATTCAACATCAATGTCGCTGATCAGCCCACTACGCCTCAAACCATGGTGGCTGATTATGATGACGATAAAGTCATTTTGTCAATTAGTGAAAATCCGGTAACAGCATACAGCTCTGRGGTTCGCCTAAAAAATCTAACACCGATAAAATCCATGTATTTCAAAACCTATCTCTTCGACAACTCTTCAATGCACCACCGTATGTCTCAAACCTAACATTACATAACGATTTTCACACGAAACCCATCAATGAAAAAACTCAATTCTTTTACTCGCGCTTCCGCATGCGACTTCTATCCCACCAAAATCCTCTTATTAAAAACCTCTCCTCTCTAACTTTACCAGGAAATCCAAGGCGCAGGATAAAAAGAAAATGGTGTCGTGACCTCCTACAATTACCAAGTTAAAATATACAATATATATGTATATATATACATGTAGGTTTTGGTGTAGGTAGGATATAATGAAATACACGACTACATTAACAACTAACTAACAAAACTATATTACAAAACTCAAGACACACGTGAATAGCTACACTAACGAAATAGAGCTAACAACTAAACTAGTAACTGGTGGCGAAGCGTGTTATATACGCCGATAGAATTTTCTCGGGGCAGCACGTGACGGCGCGCAAAGATACTCGAGAACCTTCGTGGCAGCGGCCACGCTATACGTGCCGCGCGGCGCGACTGTTTTAGAATGTTCGCGGGCATTCGCCACATAGGTACATTATAGTATTATACACACAATTCCAACCATCAATAATTAAAAAACAAAGAATGAAAGAATATACAAATATATACAAATAAGTAAATATATATATATAAATAATAATTTATGCTAAGTGTTGCCAGTGGCAATTTATGATGTCCTGTCTTCTCTTTGCACATACTTGTATAGAATGTTTATTTCTAAAAATGTAGGTATTAACTATTATTAACTTCGGATAAACCAAGGCGGGTAAAAAATGTAGTGAACAAATATAAAATTATTACATCCAATTATAATAATAATATTATATTATACAGAAAAAGTGCAACCATTTATATTTAAAATAAAAAATCCAATTTCTACCATTACTATATTATATAGTATACTACCTACTGATTAAAAAATATAAAAAATATTTTATAAGTTATAGCAATTGTTTTACTGCAAATTTTTCCAATTATTATTATTATTTTTTTTTTTTGTAAACTTTATTCGGACTTTTACGAACAATTTAAAAAAAAAATCAGTACCGCCGTTATAAAGTAAAGGAGTTACCAAAAGATACCATTTGATATTCATTTTACAGATTATATACCATGTTATAAAATAAATTATAATAACAATTGACTTCAAACTTTATATATATATAATTTTTTTCAAAAACACATAAAATAACCACAAGACTACTTTGTTGTTTAGTGATAAAAAAAAAGATCTAATACACGAATGTTTCTAGGACTGTGTTATGCCGAATTCGCTGGCCGAGTACCCAAAGCTGGATCTGCGTACATCTACAGTTACGTGGCGGTTGGCGAGTTCACTGCGTTTGTCATCGGTTGGAATCTACTCATCGAACATCTAATTGGTAATATCGATCGATACTATATAATAGTATATAATATAGTTAGCTGATATCTTATACTTTCACCGCTGATCGACAGAGAGTAAAATAATAACAATAACCATGGCAATAATCTATTATTAGATCATAAAAGAACGACGTACTAGCAGAGAATATGATGTATTTGTCTTACAAGCATATAATATAGTATGCAAATTTTATGTTCATGAATCATAATAATCCAATTTTATCTGTTCTTAGTTATTGCAGCCACCAGTTAAAAAAAAAAACTTTGAAACCCAAAAAATAAATATATTGACATTCATGGCCCAGTATTTTTCGTTAAGATCGTAAATGTTGGTATATATTTTTTCTGTATATATATATGATTTAGTACTCATATTTTTATTTATTTACACGAAAAAAGAAAAATTAGATTTACCCCCCCCCCCCTCAGGTCTCGTCTCAAATACGCCCTTGTCTCACACATAAAAGTGATTTTCTTTAAATTGTATTATAGATCAATTCACTCTAATCTAAAAACTGACTAATATGGATTATATAATTAAAGTAAAATTACCCATGTGTTGTATATTATGTTTAATATATATAATAAGATGGAGATGAGACATTAAACGTATCTTCTCAAGGAGATTACAAACGATCAGATATTCCAACCAAAATGTACCAATTTGTTGGCAATCATACCGATGGACCAATAATGCAATTAGAATTTGAATGCTGATATGAGCGTTGCGTTTATAATTTCTTATTATTATGATCAATCAAATAAATAGATAAGATTTCGCTCCACAGCTCATATAGAATAAAAAAATATTTACTTTGAATATTTAAAACGTATGAAATTTTAAATATTAAGATGACGCCTCACCCGTGTTGTCTCCGTCTTACAAACAAGTAACATATATCTATATTTAGTTGCTTACAAATTGTAATCCCCGTAGTAAAATCGTAAAAAGGAGGTAAAGTCATTAAAATTAAATTTTTAGGAGAGCAAAAACAAAGTTAAATCAAATTAATTAAAGTTAGGTGTCAAAATAGATATGTGCCTATATTGGTGACATAACTCTTGTAGCAAATAAAAATTGAGTTAACACTAAACGCACATTGAAATAACACATTCGATAATACAAAATTATTTATATCTTTTGGCATAATTTACGAAGTTATTTTTTCTGCATTTTTTGATGTAAATAACTCATTTTATACAAAATGTTGACTTCCCCTTTTTCACGCACAACCACGATTAATATCAATGTACAAAATATTTTATATTTGCGCTTGACATTGGGCGACGGTTATGCAACTTAAACGGCATTCGAGCATGCGGTACTCACAAAAAAATAAATATAATATATTACTGAACATTCGCGATTCGCCTGAATTACCTACGTGAATAGACAACAATTTATTATTTACAATAATGTCACGATTCGTTGTTAATGATAATATGTAAAATGTAATATTATTATTGCTCTTAGGTGTTCGAATTGCGATTTGCAGGTGTTTATTAATACCCATACAATATTATAATATTGTATGGGTCTTCGCCCTCGTCGCAGATTCTATTCGTCTCCATTGTATTTACACTTTTCATTGATCATTTTTAGGAACCGCGTCTGTGGCAAAGGCCATGAGCAATTACTGCGATTCTCTGCTGGGAAACCCACAAAGGAAATACATGACTGAATATTTTCCCTTACACATTGGCTTCTTGGCCGATTATCCCGACTTGGCGTCATTCGTAGTGATCGTCGTCATTGCGCGTAAGTGTTTATATTGTTATCTTCGCATCATAGGCGCAAATCCTTTCAATTTGGTGTGGAGGAGCTTAAGTCCAGATTATTTATACATTGAGTTTTTAATAGTTTATAGGACTCTAACATATTGGGGGGAGGGGGGGGAAGTCCCGTTAGCCAACTGTGATTTGCGCCTATGCTTCGCATATATTATAATACGTATACGTATCAGTAAGTGTTTATATATTTTATTACAAAGGTATATTGCAGCATGTGTGCATAATATTATAATATTATGAAAGTGTTGAAATTGAATGTTACGAAAAAAAAACGAAATAAAAAAAAAAAAAATTTCAAGTGAAAAAAGTATGTAAAACTATAACGAGTCACCTACTTGATATCTATGTAGTTAGGTTAGATAATATAGTTAGGTATGTAACGAAATCCACTTTGGTGACGAAAGWTACTATGCAATTACAATAACGTGTTCCCTATATAGGTACCCTCCGGAAGATGAATATATTTTCCGTCGAGATTAAGCGGTTATCGAAACTAGAAAGAAAATATTTTTGGTAGGTTTCCTTAATTTAATATTGTGTTATTACTGCTGTAGAACCGTGTAAGGATGATTCAAATTGATTGAATTTATCGGAAGAAAGAGTCACACAACGGGTATCTTTATATAGATTTAATATTATCACAGAAACAACTCGTAAAATCAGTTTGAGAAGTTTGACCGTCTGCGACAGTTGGACATTTCAACGGAGATGTGTTTTTTATTTAATGCAACGGTCTCATTCGAACGGGGACGCCAAATTATCAATTTATTTKTCTGCTGAAGTGCGTCTGGACGATTATCGCGCATATAATAATTATTAAATCAATTAAAGACGATTTAATTGAATGGTATGGATGTGATGAGTTAAATTCCCGAATGTAATCTGTTCGCATTCAATGACAGTTAATAATAATTGCCTAATATTGACGTATAATTGGCAGATACCACTCTCCATATTACATAGTTAAATACATATAAATGTTTCGAGTGTACTGAACTTTTATCATAATGATAGATTAGTATAAATGGTTTGAATAATTTACTAGGATAATAATTTAATTTGTACTAGCTGATATAACAGTAAATTATACATTACGACAGTAAACTCTTCGCTAAAAATGAATGAGAAAAATGCCTAACAATATTATTATATCACTCAAAATCGCAGATAACAAAATGTAATTTTGTAATTAAATCTTGAAATTTATTGTTTTAAAATAATCATAGTCTTTTAGATTTTTAATTTAAATAAATAAATTGTTTCCAAGTATACACTGTATAAACAACAAATTATAAATAATTACATTAAATATTTAAAGTATATGTTATACTATATAATATATAGAATGTGACAGAAAGAACTGACAAATAAACATAAACAAATTAATACTAGGTACTT